CGCAATATGGTCCTAGGACTTTTCCCTCTGCACTTTTGTGTTTAGCGCCCCCATTGTTTCATATAATTTCTTTATACCCCGACAATATATGCCCTTTTATTTTAAATTTATATCAAAGAATAAAGACTTGGCATTTTTAATGGCTGTCGATTTATACTGCAAGATGCTATGTAGTTGAACTGAAAAGATACAATTAATTTTTCATATTTACAGTAACACATTACACATTAGTACACAAAATCCTTAACTTTCAATTCCTAAGTAAAAAGTACGTATTTTGTTTAATAGACGTTTTATAATTCTAAAATTATCTGTATTGGAATTAAGTCCCTGTGTAGAAAAAGTATCCAAACCTTTGACACTATATATGTCTCATCTCTCATGAAAGATGAAAGCTGAATCAGACAATTGTCCGGAATTATTATTTACAGTATTCTGCACTGGCGATTGGAATTCGTGTCGTTAAAATCTCTCGCAATTAATTCACAATTGTACTTAAATATCGTATGTCTTAAAGATGAAGTCCTATACAGGCGTAGATAAAAAATAAGGCGGTTAATGTTGAATCGGAATTTGCCGACACAGGGCTTTATATCGAATAGCCCTTTGAAAGCAATGTCCATTTCCGACAACCTGATCCATTGAAAAGAGATGTTATCAAAGAAACTGTGATGTCAAAATTCATGCTTCGGTAACGTAAAGCGGAATCAAAACAAAACAAAAACAAACTGGACTTGTTGGCAAAATAAAACGAACTCAGCAACTAATATGTGTTTTTTAAAACGAACATTTCTAAATTAATCTTACTATTACTAATATTATGAATGCGATTGTTTAGATGGATGGATGGATGGTTGTTTGAAGATATCTCCACAAGGGCTGCAGCTCGCTGATATTTGGCAGAGATGTAAAAAAGTCTCGAAGAACGTATACTATATTTATTAAGTTTTTTTTTATTTCCGTGCGGAGGGAGCTTGTTTGATATATTAGCGATTGCGCTCTTACCTTTGTATCCAAATTATGTAAAGTATATTTAATAATTTATCTTTGTAAGTTTTTTCGTGCTAAAATATCAATAATAATAAAACTGCGTGCAATACAGAACAAAATAAAATATAACAATTAAAACGCCCCCACAAAATCCAAATATAGAAAAAATCACCCTTATTCTATACATATTTCTATTTCGTATCTGGTACAGTCGTGTAGATACACATATTTGCAAGATTTGGATTATTACTAATATAAAGTCCACTAGTGTATTGTCGCATATAAATTGATGTATAGTCAAGGACTATAATATTTTTTCACTAAGAATCAAAGTTCATGCAGAAAACTGTAACCAAAAGACCTATAAAACGTAATATTTATGTGCCTAATTGCATTGGAAGCGTTAAGCGATTGACCGAAATTGTAAGAAAATAAATATCCTCGTCTGTACGCGACTGTACCAAAACGTACAGTTCGTTGCAACGTAACCACAATGCGTTATACCCCTGCCAATTAACATCGGACACGCTGGTCATAGTTGTGTCAGAGTTCAATGAATTTTTGTTCGAATCTCATCGTATTACGGATAGGTCAGTGATCAATCTTTTAGATTCACAGTACAATGCTTGTCATTTTTGTTTTGTACAGTTATATACAGAATTCGAAACCGCGTCGCTGTTTTGTTTGTATACTTCTATTGTTTCAGTCTGTGCAGATATAACTAATTTAAAGATGAAATTAATGGAAACATTTGTTAAATTTAATTAATTACGAAATAATAAAATTATAAAAAATAATAAAATTTTATATTCATTAAATACGTTATTTTATCGAAGAAGTTAAACTTGCACGAGTTAAAATTACTCGTAACTGAGATTAAAATTATCGGTGTTTTTCAAGAGTTACATGGAAATTTTCCAGTCAACTGATTTTCTTAGGGTTACTAGGCAATTACCTAAACAACAAACAAAAAAACAAAATGTTATGTTCTTTTTTTTTCGAAATTTTTTGATATTATTTATAATTTAAAAGAGCAAAGTATTAAACACGGAAACCCTTGTAAATTTAAGAGACGTTTTACAAATTAACATGGTGTTAGGATCAGCAGCGTGCCGGGACAAAATGTAATTAATAATTTATGCCGCGACGACGGTCGGAACTTCGCTAACACACAAGTTGGCTTCCAGTGACCTTTTCTATGCGAAAAAACAATGCTCAGTTACCGACGACGTGTGCGATGTGTAACGAGCTAATTTAAACTTTTCGGTACAACACCCGCGAGGGTGGCGCCCCCTACCTCAACCCACTGTCAACGGCCAGACGGCTTTTCAATAAATCACCGATATTTATTTCAGTTTTATTCTAAGTTATCGATTAACCTTAATCTTTTTAAAATTAAAGTAAATATGTACACAGTATTGAATCTATATATGTAAAAATCAATTGCTGTTCATTAGTATAACTATATATATATATCTATAACTCGACAACGGCAGAACGGATTTATCTTATCTTGGTCTTAAAATGTTCGTAGAGGTGTAAGGAAGGTTTAAAAGGTGAGAAAGATTCGAATAATTGCCGGGAACTCATTCAGTTTTTTTTTCATTTCACGCGGACGGAGTCGCGCGCGACAGTTAGTAGTTAATATTTATTTTAGTTATCACAACATTGTCTGTATCGTATTTTTTTATACTAAAGTATAAAACTTAAATTCCTTACACACAACAAATAATTACAGATATAATATTGTATACGTATTTATTATATAAGCATACTAGCGGAGCCGACAGACGTTGTCCTGTCTACACGTCTTTAATTCGAATATTATTTAAAATTTGACACTTCGATGGTAGCGCCGTCTGTCGGATCCAATGTAAAACATTCCAAAATCAACAACTACTAATAAATTAAAAATTAATTAAAAAAACATTGTCCAGCGGACAAAATTGTGAATCTAAACCATTCCCAGATCCCCGTGAACACACACAAAAAATTTCATCAAAGTCGTTTGAGAGAAGTTCAGTGACATACACACTCACAGAAGAATTATATATATAAAGATTTACATTACCAAATCTGTTACATGAAAAAGTATAGAATACAGAAATCCTATAAATATGTCATCCCTTATTGAAATCATTGGAATAGAGGCAATAAATCAGACGTGTGCGTGGGTGTCGGCGAAAGGGCGCGAGCTGACCGCTGTCCACTCGCCGCGCAGTGGGTGTGGCTACCTGAGTATTGGACAAGATAACCCGGAATCACTGTATTACGTTTACATATACAAAATCGAATTTATACATAACGTAGTGTATATATATCAGAAAGAACGAAATTATTGTTAACATCGGATACATGTCGAATAAGTCAACTTTTTTGTTCAAAATATTTTTATTCTTCTGTTTCGCTTGTTTTCCTTAAATTAAAACTACTCTCGAATATAACATACAAGAATGGTTTTTGTTTTATGATTTTTTCGATAGTCCTTTATGTCCACTGTTCTAATATTTTGATGTTGTACGTTATCTTAGATAAGGATTTCAATCCATAGGTTATTTTACCCTAGCGACTTTCTATGATATTTACTCTATATTTCTATCTTTTTAAATTAGCAGCATAGAAGTTTCCTAAGTGATGAATAACAATGCTATTGTATAAGTTATACGTAATAATACATAAAAGTAGCACGCGACATCGTTAACGCTGACTAAACAAATTAAAACATACAAAAAAGACAATCCATTAAACAAGGAAGTGATGAAAAACATATCCGTTTGCCACGAGCCGGGCCGTTTAAACAAATCTGTAAAAAATACGTCAATACAATGTCACATTTACATAATAAACCCCCTAAACAAACCGAGTAGAACATTGTACACAGAGCGGTCGAATCACGAACTTTTTTACCGCGATATTAATTTTATACTCCGGTTTCAAGTCACCCCTGCGTGCACTAAGTACGGCCTACTTTCTTTTACAAAGAAACTGAAGAAAGAATAATAATAATAAGAGAGGACGGAACGTAAGGGCGTCTGCACGATGCTTATGTGAAATTAGCTCGCGAACGGCTTTGATGTGCCGACCAATTGTGCGCGACTCGCGTATGAAAGCGCCTTTATAATTCTGTCGCGATGGCGATGGTGTCGCGCCGCCTTATTTATTAGGTAATTAAAAACGCACGAGGTCGCCATGTATTAGTGGAATACAGTTGGCGAATTTACATTCATTGTTGGTTACTTCTGTTACTATATGTGGTTTTTAAATAATTTGAGGGTTATTTCTTGCTTAGCCATCTTTATATTTATTTACATTTATAATTATTAAAAATAATAAAAAATATAAATAGTTGTAATAAAATCGTATAACTTGCAACGATTTTCTCTAACAATGATACAGACTTTTAAAATTCGGTCAAAGATAATTACTGGTTTTTATGACAGCCTACAATTAACTTTAAGTCAAAGCAAACGCAGCATCTGCTGTACTTTCCTGTCACAACAAAATTATACTGGCCCATTCAAAAACATGAACCGCAGACGAAACGTACTTATTATACCCTTTTGTCCATTGAAAGTTAAGTGGTCAAATCTTACAACTGACACCTTATACCATAACACCGTGACTGTAACAACATACTATTAAATGTAATTTCACACTTTAAAGGATTGTAACCAAGTGTCACTGACCATATGGTGCATTAACTTTTGTTGGTCAGAAGTCTAAAAACGGGATCTATTATATTCGAAAGTTTTATTATATATGAAAGAAGATGACCTTAAAGTAAAATATTTGCTTTTACTGATTATTTACAAAGATTTAGATTTAATTATACACATCTATTTGAGGGACTTGAGTCCAAATCGTCTGTGATTCGATTCATGATACTTATAAATCGATTATTCGATTACGAAGTCAAAATGTAATAACAATTAATAGTATACTCTTCGTTTACTTTTTTTATTTAGCACTGCAGATACTGTTTTATGATTTAATCTTATTCCCTTGTGCAGCGGATGCGGACAGCGCGGCGGAGGGCGGCGGTTCCCCAAGCCCGGGCGTGCCGGCAGACACGCTCACCTGTGGTGCCTGCCGCCGCGCCTTCGCTCTAGCTGACATTGTGCGTTTTATACAGCACAAAGTCTCCTCCTGTGACAAGGATCTCACCTATCACTGCTACAGTGCAGGTAAGATAACAAGCACAAAACAATTCTATTTATCCACGCAACCATCTCTTGGTGACAACGCTACGACTCGCTCTTGAATTAGTTCCTATCCAACATTACAGAAACTGTAAATAAAATAAAAATTAATCGAAACATAGATTAATGTACAACATTAAAAAATTTTAAGTTGTATTAACGGTACACCATCTTTTACTAGGGCCTAACTCTGACCAAGAAGATGGATCAAGAACAGGGCAGGTTGCGACGGGAAACTCTAGTGGAAGGCGGCCGTCGTTACTGACAGCCAGAAGACCTCCAAATAGCAGGGTACACACCCCACCTCTCGTCAGCCCCTCGATAGCACCACCTGACCTCATCGAAGATGGTGGAGCGTCGAGTACTCCCAAACGACTTTTGGACGGTACGTAACATAATCATGTTTTTAAAAGAACAAAATTCGCCATCAATATAACAGTGTTTATATTAAATCACAAAATCATCACCCCACGAAGTAATTAACTATTTGAAGAGACTGATAATGTCTCAGCAATTCCGAAATTGTTTACGGGCTGAAATAATTAAACACAAATTGAATAATTAGTACTTACCTCAGTAATACCTGATTTATAATAACACATCCAATGATTTAAAGTTAATTTGTGTTTTATCAAGAATTAAAAACTGATCAAACGATATATACCATACAGAAGCAGACGCGGAAGCTTCAACGCCCAAAAGAAGAGCGTCCACCTCACCAATGCCATCAAGTTCTCCAGACGAGGACATCAAACCTAAGATCAAACAGGAACATATGGACACGTCCGGCTCACCGGAGGACCAAAAGAAATCGAGGACTGAAGTAGCCGATGCAGAGTCGAATACAATGCATAGTGGTAAGTTTTAATCTCGTATTTTTCATTGTTAGATTATCCATTTTATTATTATAATAAAACAAACGTGTCTAAGTAACTGGCCAGCAAGAGATCGAAATGAAAAGTAGCAGTATACAAATAGGCGTTAATTTATCGTTTGTTTAAAAAAATGTGAAAACATTAGGAGCTAACAAATATAGAATAGGACAAAGGCGGCAGACTTTTTAAAAATGCGCGTCACCGTTAACGTGTAGGTGTGGTATTTAGCGTTATATTAATGATTGTTACAATATGACTTGACAACAAGAAAGATTTTCGGCTGTAGAGACAATTTTATCGTCACGCTCCGTTTCCTTTGTCCTACATCGCGCAAGATGTTGCACAACAACAATACTGGACGCGCACGGGATGCTTACGTCATGCTTCGAACATACATTCAGGATAGGAGCTTAATCGCATCGCTTCAAAAATAGGCATACCTTATACAGCGTGTTTCATACAAAGAAATTAAATATGGAACTTAAGTCACGCTTAATTTCTATACACCAGCACAAAATTTATTAGCAATAGGTATTTTACATAGACATTAAAAGGATTTGCTATTGAAGGCCGTTTTCCGAAAAAAATAGACTTACTTTTACTCTATGACATTGCTTGCAATAGAAGTGAAGATAAAATAAAACTTAAAAAACTACTTTTTAAAAGAAATTGTTAATATGGCTAATAAAATATGTAAGCAGATAAACATAATCATTATCTAAGAAGTATTATAGTACTGAAAATATAGGCTAAATATAAATCTAAAGTAACTTGGGACATCTGTATAAGCGAGCAATCTTGCGGGGGTGGTTCGAAAAATAATCTATCCCCGAGCGTAACCCTTTGTGGGAGCAGATGTGCTGTCATTTGACACTTTTGTATTAAACCGTTGCACAACAAAAGCCTCCTTAAACCCGAAAATCGTACAGCGTTCAAAATTTTCGACCCGCATTCTGTCAGCCGCTTTGTGCAACAGCTCGCCAGCTTAAAGTTGCACTTAATGCCGAAATAACCAGAAATATTAATTATTTCATATTCCTTACTATTGTCCTTTCCGTTTTGTTTTCAATAACAATTGTAAAGTTTGGCTCGTTGGAAATACGAGTTGGGATCGCACCGGCGCGGCGTCTGGGTATACGATTGCGCTATCATCGAGATGTCAATTGCAGGTTTTGCTTCAGCACCAGTTGTCTCAGCTTATTGAGTTTATCCTAAACGTTCATATTAACCCCTTCGAGTAAGCTGTCAAGCCGGCTTATTTAATAAAAGGGTTCAGTCACTATAAAATATCATGATATATTAAATGGATGAACAGAAACAAAATAGTATCCACTATAAATTTACAAACAATTCTCTGCAATGTCAAATAAGAATATTGTAATTGTGTCAGTTAAGTTTGACCTCGTGCCGACTTATAGGGGACCTTAATTTTAATTGTATTATTTTTTACATATTAATTAACCCCATCGCTTTCGTAACAGATAAAGGGGATGTTTATGAAGAAAAAAATTATTTGCATGAGCACACGATTGACGTACGCGCATTGTTATCTCTCGCCTTTGTGATGACCCTTATGTTAACCATCACGATGCTATTAACAAAAGAGTTCGTGTTTTGTACGATGGTCATTGAATATTCAGCAGTTATTATATTTATTTAAAGTTTAATATCGAAGCACGATCTGTTGACGTTAACGCTGTTGCGGAAGCGAACGACTCAGATATTATAATTGTCAAAGATGCTACCGGAGTCCCATTGTTAGAGAGGCCTTTTATAATTTTTTCAAAGATAAAAAACGTTTGGCGTGTTCCTGACACGTGGTGCGTCGTACGTCGCCGTGACCTATGGAACTTCTTTGAGCGTGACACAATGCTCGATGATATTTTTAGTTTTTGTACAGCCGGGAAGGTGGCTAAGTGGCGGGTTTTAAATAAGTGGGTTTTAATTTTAGACGTGACGTCTTTTCTATGGGAAAGGTGAGGGGAAGAATGTCTCGTGCCTGATGCGTGGCCTTTGACGGTGCGGTAATCGACTATAAATAGAAGAAAGAAGAAAGCTATGCTTGCATCATGATTAAAATTTTAACTATCTACAGCTGTTAGATGATGTTTATGTGATTGCGGTATTTCCATGCTAAGGTAAATTTCTGTACCGTGATCGTGACAAAGGATTGCTAAGTATAATATTTTATATTGTGTCCACAAGCTGTCTTTGTTACAGTCATTAACATGACAAAACGTGGCAGCACCGATGGCCGTCACTTATTTATATCAAAATAAATATTGATTCAAGTGCTGGCCGAGTCCAGCGTTTGTTCGGTATGGCTTGTTTTTAAAAATAATGAATTTAATTGTCGGACTCTATAGTTTTGGACGGAATAGTTTTGTATTTTGGCTATGTAAGTTAAATAATAATGCGATATTTTCATGATTACCCTATGTAATCGTAGTTGGCATTTCATTTTTAAATGACAAAATGTAATAATAAGTTGCAATTTTGGAACACCCTCTATTCGATCTGTTCGTGATTACTGATGCATTAAATATCGATTTAACCAACCCTTTGCGTTGACCACAGATAAAAATTATCCTTTATACTTGAGAGTGTACGGTACGCCGCGTCGATAAACGATCGGTCAGACCGCAACGAACAATGCCGCACTTCACGTTCAACCATGTGAAATAACCATCGACAAGATAGGGCAATGATTATCACTGGACGAAAATTAAAATAAAATACGTACGTTCAAGTTTCATTCGTTCTCTGCTCCTCTTATCGCCGTCGTAAATGATTCCACAACAAAGTTCCGTCCGAGATATTTCCATATCAAGACATGTTTTCTTAAGGGTCGGCCACAAAGGGCCATCTCGACGCCCAATCTTTAATCCTATCTCAGGACCTTTGCGGGCGAATTTAAATTTCTTTAGAAATATCGTCCTTATTATGTATGTGCGGGTTTTCTATTCCTCGTGACGTTCGTAGAAGAGATAACGTAAGTTAAGTCCGAGAGGAGATTGTTGTGAAAAAACTACCGCTAAGTTTGACGAGATCCCATCGTAGCTAGTTTAGTATTGTAAATTGAACTTTATGACATCTCTATTTAGGCTTCCATTTCGTGCGGTTTTCAAAGGATTAGTAGAACCTTATTTTGTATATGAAGTGATAAGTCTTTATGAAGGGTCAACCTTTTCTATAGTGTGGCTCACCCTTTTAGTGAAAAGAGTACGTTGATAGCTGATTTAGGAATGGTGATAATACGCCCGCTGCGGTAAATGTATCATAGATTTATTCTATGATAAATGACTATTCAGACAACTTAAAATGATTGGAGACTTAAGATATCTTCAAATAGAGTTTTCCACAAATATTTTGAAGATAAGTAACTTACCAAGAAAAGATTTGAAAACTATCGTTTGGTTTATTACTAAGTACTGCTGTTTAATTTGTAAATTTAATATTAAGTACCTGGATGACCGAGCTTTGCTCCGTATTTTTTTTTAATTGTATTTTTTGGAAATTTTATTTAAGTACGAATTACTAATAAAATGATGAAATATGTTAAGTTTATGTTTTAGTTGATTATTGATAAAACACGAATAAAATGACATTTGCTAAAAATGATTCCTAGCTAGATCGATTTATCGCCCCCAAAACCCCCTATATACTATACTAAGTTTTATGAAAATCGTTGGAGCCGATTCCGAGATTCCAATTATTAATATACAATAATTGCTCATTTTAAGATATAAGATATAATATTTACTTCAGAATTATTTTGTACGAAACAAAGTAAAAACATCGATAAACTCTAACAAAGTGAAATAAAATTTTAACCGCGTCCACTTTGATGTCCCCAAACACTCCCCCTTCGAACATTTTATTGTTTTTTCTTCAATTTTTTGTAATATGTGGTAATGGTCGTCACACACGTGTCGACAACGGTTATTACGAGTTTAAAATAGCCCCTCACATCTGGCCAACAAGGACAAGACCAATTTCGGAGATAGCATTTTGTTGTCTTATAAGGATTTTTCAGAGAACGAAGTGTCGGCATCTTTGTCATTTGTTTATAGGCTATTTTATAGAAAGTTTTTTAACGGCCATGAAATATTAATTGATTTATATAATTATTAACTTTTTTAATAGCTATAACATATATGAATTTCGAAGTAGTATTATCAAAAAAATAGAAGCCATAAACTTAAAAATGACTAAAACCGAAGGGAATACTATAAAAATTGTAAATAAATAATATTTCTTAATAAAACTAACTATCAAATTTATTAAATTTATTTTCATAATGACGTACGCCCCAGACAAGGGCGTAACGAATTTGTGCGGTAGGGTGTGACTGAGGAAACAATTTGTGAAGTAACGCGATAGTTTACACAAATCTGAGTTTTAGCGAAGTGCCGATGGAAATGGGTGTGGACATGACGCCATCTTGGTTTTATTGCATTCACAAAAATTGGCGGGCTAATCAACTAACGTACGACAAAATATTTTTCATTCAACACTATTCGCTAGGGAATTGAAATTGGAGGAATTAATAGCCTTAACAAATTAAATAGGTTTGTAAAAATAAATTAAAAAATAATTTAATTGAGACTTTATTGTTATCATAGTTTTAAAATAAATAATATTCAAAGATATTTTAGTGTCTAGTCTAATGATATTTTTTATGAAACATAACGAAAATATTTTAAGGAGGTCGGGGTCAGTTTTTTGTTTCACATACGTTTGGTTAAACAGAAAACACTTGTGTAAAATATGATTCGGTCGAAGCGGTCATTTAATTGATATTTACTCATGTCTGAAACATGTGTAAAATGCGTCATGTGTTGCCATACCACTATAATATACCGCTTATAAAGTCGCTTATTTAAATAATACGATAAATATATATTTTTTATAAAATATAAGCAGATTTTTGTGAATATTATTAATATATCTTGTACCATTCCAACTAAGCGCTAGGCTTATGCTAGGATATGGTTTACGACAATAGTCGAATGGCAGGATTCGAAATCTCGACATTGAAACATTGTTCTAAAAAAATTACAAGCATTGAAAGTACCAACTCGTAGCTAAAAACTAAATTATAAATGATTTTCCGAGCATGTGTAGCACCTTACGGCAATTTGCAGCGCTCGGTTTGCCCCACGTGGGCCTTAGGGGTGTCAGTGAAGGGGTGAGTGGGGGTGAGACTGGGTTGGGGGCGGAAGACGGTCATTCAGAGCAGCGGCGCGACGGACATCCGCCGCATAACAAGTCGATGGCGAGGTACCCCGGCTAGGCGTTCTTATTTCAAACTAGCAGATACCGACTTAGCTCGTTACGAATCGAAATATACATACTACGTTTTAGATAATTACATGTTTATTGAAAAGTATGTTGTCCCGGCTTGAATGAAAGAAAAGATGAACAAACGACAAGTTTTTTTGTAATAGCGTGTAGGGTTTTCCATCTCACTATATATGGATGTTTCTTAGAAGGTATCTTCAGAACGGCTAAGGAAACCCCGCTGAAATTTGGGTTAAATGTAGAATAAGGTCTGGATAAAGACATAGGTTACTAATTATTATTTTTTAATTACGCTCGGGGGATAGCTAAAAAGTATTACTAAAAAAAACATGGAATTACTCAATATTTATAGAATTTTCTTGATTGTTATATTTATTTTATATGTTAATATTGTTTATTTTTGTAATACGAAGTGGTACACTTTATTGTGCGATAGTATAGACTGCAACACTATTTCATAGTTAAACCTCGTTCCCACTTAAAGCTTATGGGGCGTCTGAAAATGTCCGCCAGAGGCGCTGATGTGCGCGCGCCGCGTCGCCGGAAGTCGCTCCGGCGGTTTCCGGTCGCAAAGCGCCTATATAACATGTCCTCGTATTTTCTTACACTTTACTTATTTTTTACTTTACAATTTGATAAAGTATCCTTACGCAATAATATTAACAATATTTATATTTTTTAACAATATCTATTTTATATTTTATCAAACAAAAAATACAAGCACAATTTTGCTCAAAGCGTAAGGACCCAACGTCCCAAACAAATATACATATTATTCGACATCTATTGTATTGATCGATTGCTTGTGACATTTTAAACTAACGCTTCCGTGTTTTAAAGGCCATGTTCAATCATGTATCTGTTATAATACTTAATATAAAAATCATAGCATTACACTTGCTATTATTTCGATTCCGTGGCAATCGTACATTTTCGGGACACAGGTATACGCGCTCTTATCTCGACAAATATCTATCCAAACTGACTTATCTATATCATAGATGTAGAACATAGTCTAGAAGAATACATAGGCTACTAATTAAGATTTTTTAACTTCCGGGATTCGCCGTAGCGATCAAAGTATAGTAGTAGGTAAGATATTTAGAAGATAAGATTAATAATAGTCATTTTCACACTTGTTATTCAATTATGTATCTGAAGGTATCACAATTCATATTATTAACTAATTTCATATTATTATCCGTATTACTAGCGACCTCACATGACCGGGCTAAGTGAGTTGTCTTAATAACATTATATTCAAGTGCATGAGAACGGAACATTGTATAGATAAACTGGGACCTCACGACTTCTACCTTTAGATATAAATCGTGCGCAATAAAAACGATGTCAAAACGGAGTAATTGAATCGGCCGTGCTGTACCACCTGCTTGAGTTATACTTCGTATTACTGAGCTTCATCCTATTTGATATTACAATTAAAATAATTGTTCAAAAATTAAAAGCAAAAATATTTTTTTATTGATTGATCTTATCTTCATAAGCGCGGAAGCTAGACGACCGCGTACTGTGGAATACATTAGGGAAGACCTATGTCCAGCAGTAACAGATGCGATGATGATAAGGGGTGATGTTTTTGATATAATATGTAACAGAATAATTTCTTTCCATTTGCAAGTTCGAATTTTTCAACTTTCATTAGTTCTTTAGAAGGAAAAGTAGAGATTACGCGTTGTTTCCATTACTTAAATATAATATTTGTTTTCAAATATAATACGTACATTTAAATAAGAACAGTGTTTCACAAATCTGTAACAAGCGATGTAAATAACATCCAGACACAATCCCTTTTCTATTATCCGTATACTTAGTAAATACGAGCATCGGATAACGCTTTTGCTGGCCCTTTTGCACCCCCCTTTTGGATAAGGGGTGGGGGTCAGACGGGTGGTGATGTTTAAAAATTTCACTCGCCACTGGTTCGCAGCCCACACAATGCCCATAATCAGTGATTGCCTTTTGAAATTGAAACGGTTGTTAAACATTTGTCTCTGGGACCCGCACGATATACGCGACTACGGAACCACAGCGCCTTTTGAACTTGGACTTGAAAAATCCATCATTCTATTCCTAAAATATAATATAAAATCTTATTGTGTCTTTAAGTTTAAAGAGAATATGACAGACAGTAGAGTTATTTGGTCCCTTAAAAGTAATTTCATGCATATAAAGATGATTCAATGATGTTGGTAGAATTAAGAATCGGTCGTATAAGTAAAATTGGCATTTTGAATGTCGTATTAAGTTACCATCGCCTGTAACATATGTACACTTGCAAATACATTACAATACAATCCAACCTCCCACAGATTACAGTATTGTAAGTGTTAGGATTAAACTGTGTCCTCGATCTGTTGCACACGGGGCCCACGCGGTTCATTGTTTAATTATCACTATCACCATACATCTGACCATCGATCTAATCACACGAATAATCGAATATTCAACGGTAATCGGATTAAAAACGAATCGATTTTATGATACCTTTAGATCATTGACTCTTATTGTAACTGAATACGATTGATTATCGATATTTTTCTCGTCTGATCTTTAGATGGACTGTATTAATCTATGGCTTCTGTTGGCTTCTTTAAATGTGTGACAGTGATGGATCTTGTACGGTTTACATATCGCATACAATGATCTTATTAACTACGAACACATATCATAGACAAAAAATGCATTTAACATATTTTATTACACATTATTACTACAAAATATCTATTTTTATTTACTAAGAATCTAAACCAATTTTTTATTAGCCTAAGTTAAAATAAAACTCTTCAGTGCTCAATTAATAAAAAGATTTTTTTTGATGATATTCACTGAGTGATATTTTGTGGCCAGTAGGTCCCATTCATTGACCAAAGCAATACAATGAACAATGGTCTTGACAAAAAGGTCAAAATGTAGTGTTATGATCTTACGATACAAATACGCGCGGTACTTAATACAGGGTGATCTATAGACTATTATTTTTTCTAATTAAAATTAATAAATTTACATGAATAATTTTTTGTTCCTACATCTAAACCATTTCCAGAGGTAAGATAAGTAATAAAGTATTATTATTTGGTATTAGGGATTTGAACTGATTTTGATATTTTGTTTTCGTGAGTCTTATAACATTAAAGTTTATATAATTTAAAAACACACTTTGCTTATTTATATATTTTTGCAACGAAAATTGGAACACGATGTATACAATTTTTTCCGGTCGGTCACAATCTGACCGTTACAATTCAATAATCGTCTTAAAAGTCAAGATCGTTTATCGACCGCGCCTACCGCCTCTAGTGATGCAAACTGCCTCGTAACATAGACGGAACAAATTGATTTAAAAAATATTAATTTATATATTTTAAACAACTTTGAAATATTTAACGTATTTTAATAAAGATTTAAAGGATCCCAACATGTAAACATGAATTTTAATCTTAAATCGTATTTTGCTGTTAGGTTACAAAACGAGATTTAAGATCTGTACGACTTGAACCTGCTTAACAAATTGTAAAACCTAATTTCAAGCATACAAATCTAATAGAAAAATAGTGTTATCCTTAGAAGAAAAAAAGATGTATGATATTTCTTCAGTACTCAGTGTGTTACGGTATCATTAATTGTGTGTGGTATAATAAATTAAATCAAAGATTAAACAAAATAAATAATAACTCATATCCTCAAGCTCGTCTCTATAAGCTCGTTGAGTCGTGATACAATACAATGGTGTCCACAATAAAATTTGTCTCGGCCTCACAATGAGCAATAGAATTACTGACTAGTATCGGGGCGCGGGCATGAACGCGTCTTGACCACGTGATCTCAATTCTTCCCGCTTATCTATATGGGAGATCGTCGTACGCTTCGCTTATGTTATCAATGACGCTTCTAAATTAGCATAAAAAGATTTACTTACATGTCAAAACAGGGATTGATGTTATTTAATGCTTCTTCATCTACTTAATAAATTAAAATCACCTTTGTTTTGTAAATCTTCTTAATAAAATCGAAAATATAAAAAGTTTTTAACAATAACGTACATCTTTATCGAAAAACAAAATCATACTTGAGAAACTCAGTATGTTTTTAATGTTGCCAATTTCATAAGAACATAAATTATTTGAAGATTCGAGTGAGCACAGGAATACGAACTGTACCTTCATTTTTCTGTTACCAGGATAGTGTTACATATAGATTTCAATATCAACAGTCTTAACCCGCCTCCGCACGTGATCCCGGCCCGCGTATATTTCATAAGATTTTAGAGGTGCATGAATCACGCGGGACACGAAAGGGCGATCACTCACGGCCGCCGACGTTCGGAGCCCTCGGACCTTTGCCTTATTAGCATGCGCGCCACGCATCTTCCCTAGGCCCAACACTACGATATGTGAGAGCTATTACTAGCCACTTTGCCCGTGTTAATATTGCTGTAAATCTCCGATCGGGAAGCAATCCCATCTTCACTGTTTCGTTTTATTAAAAATCTAATGCATTTTTTCTCTTTGCCAACAGAACCAAGCAACTATGTCTGCTCTACGTGCAAAGCGCGCGTGCACTCCGCGTGGAGGTTACTACAGCACGTTCAACACGTTCACGGAGTTAAAATTTACGTAGAAACAATGCCGCAACCGCAGAACAAACAGAACCACTCCACGTCAAGTACCTCATCCTCAAGCTCAGGGTGTTCGTCTACAGGCGCTCCTTTACCACCTCCATCGTTACGCCACCACCCCTTATTACCCCCACCAGACATGCATTCCCCGTTTGGTGTTGGAGGTCTTCTTAGAATGCCTCTACCGGGCAGCCTACCGCCACTGGCTCATCCATCGGTTCCTCCTGCGCCGCTGTTTGCGCGCCCAAATCATCATGACCATCGCTTTCGGATGGAACAGTTGGTATCAGAGCAGTTTCGTCACCATGGCCTTAATCTGGCAGCAGCTGCAGCAGCTGTAGCTGCCAATTCTCTACCTCCTCACCAACCATTCCCGTCGCCAGCTGATCGCTCCCCGGCGATACCAACATCTCTCTCGGCTCGAGATAGACCACCACCGGTTTCTCAACCACTCTCTCTCGAACCCCAGCTGGATTTTTACTCGCAGCGCTTGCGGCAACTGGCAGGTACGACCAGTCCAGGGGCGGCCACAGGCAATTCGAGCTCTCCTAGCCCCAGGAAGCATTCGCCGCCGTTCGCTTCCCCGTCGCCCTCCCGAGTCGGTCAGACTCCACCGGCGGGCGCCGGAGCCGGAACGGTGGACGCGCCTCGAGAAGCCACGAGGCCGCATAGCTCCATTTCACCCGATAGGAGAGTCGAACCACAAGCTGCTGACGCCCCTCCCACTGAACGCACCGCAACGCCGACAGTGAAACGGAATAACGAGGAAACTGTGCATTCTTGTGAATTTTGTGGTAAAAAATTCCGATTCGAACATAGCCTAATGGTTCATCGGCGATCACATACAGGTGAAAAACCTTTTAAATGTACAGAATGTGATGAATCATTCGAAAAGGCATCAAAATTAAAAAGACACATGAAAGTCCACCGTGCGCAAGACGCGACCACCGAGGATGGCGAGTCCGGTGGCGATACTGGCGATGACGACTCAGAAGATGAACTAGAAGACGAGGAGTTAGATGGTGAGGAGGAGGAAGAAAATGACGAAGGGGATGATATAGAAGAAGCAGAAGATTTGACGGTGTCAAACGGTAGCGCACCTTCTGCTCCACCCCGTAAACAAACTCCTGCAATACCTGCTCATCCACCTTCGGCATCTGTTGTCGGAGAACTGATGGATAAATTCGGTCTTTCAAATATTGCACAATATAGCGAAGCTTTCAAGCAAGCTCTGCAGGAGTCGGGTAATTCACTAAAATGGCAGCTAGCAAAAGACCGCGATAATAATAATGGTCCTCCCTCTGACAAACCTAACGGAATGCCGCCGACTGCTGCATTACGTTTGAAAGAGGAATTTGCAAAAATGCCGCCTCAGCCACATCCTCTGTTCAACCCTTTTGAGAATCCATTTGAAGCATCTAAACGCATGAAGCTAGATATGGAGAGGGGGGACGGTTGGTGGTTGCCAACACTGCACGCACAGCGACCGCCTGACAATATTTTTGATGGTCTCAAAAACAGCGGCAATGGATTATTACAAAATTCATTGCTAAAATCAAAAGATGGACGGCGAAACGACACCTGTGAGTTTTGTGGCAAAGTTTTCAAAAACTGCTCAAACCTGACGGTACATAGACGATCGCATACGGGTGAAAAGCCATATAAATGTGAGTTATGTTCGTACGCATGTGCTCAGAGTTCGAAGCTGACGAGGCATATGAAGACTCACGGCAGGCTCGGTAAAGACGTATACCGTTGCAGATTTTGCGAGATGCCTTTCTCGGTACCATCAACGTTAGAAAAGCATATGCGTAAATGTGTTGTGAATCAAAGTAACGGTGGGGCACTCGCTTTGTCTGACGACTCGAACGCGTGCCGAGACGAAGCCTCGTGACTCTACCCGTGGGGCGGGCTGCGCCTGCCGCCGCCCGCGCCGCCCAGCCAAATCTTCTAAAGCTCGAACCTCGAGCAGATGCAATGTGCTGTGTCACGAACGATGACGTTGAGTTCGGGTGGACAGATGTTCAATTTCTAGTCTTAAGGAGTTAATGAAACAAATGTTTAAGCAATTTTAGCCCAAAAATGCAAACTCCGAAGGGCATTAATTTATCTGCTATTTAGTGACATATCTCGTGTATTGAGTGTTAAACAGTTCCAGTTGTATTGTTGATGTTAGCTCGAGTTTTTTTTTGGTTATTTACGTTCGAGGCTGTACTAGGAATCTTTATGTTACATTCTATCGTTTTATTGATTGTAAAAATTCAAGGAAACCAATGCCAAAGTTAGCTATGTTAATTTACGATATACTTTAGTTATTTAAGCTGTATAGTGTCAATTAATACAATTTTTCCAGTATTTATTAAGATCTTCATAGTATCGGTAGTGATATGTGTTTTTCGTTGTAAGTTGTTTAGTAATTTTTAGAATATTATGTACCTACAAGCAAAATGTTTCCTATCCTAGATAAAACTCTTGTAAATATTTAATTTAAATGTAAGTGTTTGTGTAAATTGTGAAGCTACTTATTGATGTTAACTGTAACATTAAATTTTGGCAAATTTAAAAAATAATCGCAAAATATTCGGCAAAAAATACGGTGAGTTTCCTTTAATCGATAACTTTAGTGTTGTAGAAAACGAAATTGATATCGATTATAAGGGTAGGTGTTATAACAAGGTATTTCTGTATCTAATAAGTGTTTAAATCAAATTAAATTAAAAAAAATATTTCCAAAAAGTATTCAATGTCTCGCAAATTTTTTCGCTTTCTTTCTCATAAATGGGTAATAGTTTTTTTTGTTAAGACTGAACAAATATTCCAGTTTGTTTTATTAAATTTCCTTGTGATTTTGAAATTCGTGAAAGTTATTAGCAACTAAATTAGTCCAAGTTTGAAATCTTTCAGTATACGTACTTAATGTAAATTATAATAGAATTTATATTAGATAATTGTAAGTAAATTATAAATAGATTACATTTTGTCTCCGATGTCGACCACAACTCTACTGTTAGGGCCTCTTCACATTGTGTTTGATAAACACGTAATAAATATAATGTAAACGGGCCCTAATCAATTTAAATATAAACAATAATTCAAAACCAATTAATGAGTCACTTTAGAAATATAAAATGACTCGTTGATTAAAATTTGAAAATATTTTCTATTTAAATCCACAAATTGTAATAAAATTCTGTAAATTATAAATAAATATTATTAAAATGTCATTGCTCATTAATTGATTAATAATTTTAAAGTAACTTCTTCTCAAAACATAGAATTATATTTATCTCGCAATGCAATTTTTAAGTAATTTTACCTCGTTTTTAATTTTATGTTTTGTGGAGATGATATTGAATGTTCTAAATATTTATAGTTGTATTAATTCAAAATGTTTAGTACAAGTGCCGGCGGGAAGCGGAGACAAAATAGCGAAACAAAAAAAAAACTAAGACAAATTTTATCGTGTAACTATCTCTATGTGAAAGATGAACTGTTTTTATTATTTTTCATTTTTTATTATTTTTATTTCAATAAATATCCACGATTTGTTATTCAAATTTGTCGTTTAATTTTTATGTATAACCTACTTTTTTAATTGCACCCAAATGGAAATAATAACCATATTGATTAGATTTAATACGAATATATTAAAAAGAAGATCTTACTTGACTCTACTGATCCATAAATATGAAACATCTTTACCTTATCCTCCCTTCCTGTTAAAAAAAAAGATGAGAAGTAGACTGCAATTGGGCCTTAGGCACGAAACCTAGGTTTCCAACTATTTAACACAAATTCTCGGTTGATTTTTAGTTATCTAAAAATGTACAATAAATAAATCTTAGATATGTAGTCATTATTTTATTACTCAACAATGATAAAGTTACTACAAAAAATTTAAAAATCCTGTACATGGACAGTATTTTTTACAAACGTCTTATTAATAAAAATGGCTAGAACGTAGCGAGGTTAACTGAATGGACGGCAGTGGGCAAGTTATGTTTTAAAGAGAAGATGGCAAACGAGCCACGCGCCCTCACACTGATATATTTATTGCGATCGACTATTAAATAGGCTTATACAGGATGTTCTTCTAATTCCGCACGGAATGTCACATAGAAATTGTAAGTATGAACTTTTAAAAGTAGGTCTTTAATCGCTAAGTACATATGAAAAGTCTTGAGTTTCTGCCGACTTGAACATTAATAGGTTTTAGTTTCATGAAAAACGTAAATATGTAGTTAAATAAATATGAGTACGTTATTTGAACGATGTAAATCTTACCTACTTATTCAATTTAAGTCCTAGAAAAATTTCTCTTCAGTTTTTACATAGTATGAAGAAAATATTTATTTCAATATAAAATTTAAATAGTGTTCGGGTATCAAATGGTTTTATTCATCGGAAATGTATGTAGTATTATAGTATCTTAAATAAAACGTCGGATAACAAACATTTAAAACAACTTATACCTTTAAAATATTATAATATATTTATACTAAGAAAATGTGACCATTCACCAACGCTTTGCATTATTAGGACCTAAATATATATTTTTTTAATTTACTTATTAATTTAATTACAATATCAATTAAGTAATGTGGCAGGTCGAGTTTGTGCCTTAAATTATTGAATATAGACAATTATAATACTGTAATGAGTAGAAAAGTAACTAAAAATGTAATAACAATTTTTCTTTACACGTTAAAGGAAATTAATTAAATATTAAAGTCAATATTATTTTCCATACAAAAGTTTTAGGTCTCAAAAAATGCACTTAATTTTACAATACATGGCAATGTTAAAAATTATCATTAAATGTGGGTACTCGTTTATTTATATATCTTTGACAACGCGACATCAAACCTTAGTATCCGCCGTGACCATTAGCTCGAGAGAGCTGAAACGTTTTAAATGATAATATTGAAGTGATAACACGCGTAAAATAAGTTTAAATTTAGTGTAGTGTTTCCGTAAATAAAATAAATTTTGTGAAATCCTTTTGGGTCAATTCCGGCTTATCCTAGGTAAGTCAACTTATAGTTCTTATTATTGAAACGACATTACGGTAATAATCTTTATTTTACCTTGCTTATACAATTATTTACTACATTTAAAAGATAACATTATTCGTAATCATTTATAATCTGTTGTTATGGTTAACTAGTAAGATTTGAAATGCGGAAATTCGGTATCTGACTTGACGACCAACGCCATCTTGTAGTGAATAGTTACAATCACAGCAATTCACCCAAGACGAAAATACATTTCTAATAGGATTTCTAAAATTTCTAATAGGATAAGTCATATTCGATATAATTTACTGGTATTCTTATATTTAATAATAAGGAATATTACTTTATAGATTTGTAGATTTAAATACAATAAGATAAACACTCTTATAAGAAAAACTTCTGTAGATAGAACTATAAACTTGGCTCTACATCACACGATACGCTAGCAACGCCCTCTACCATACAATATTTAGATATTGCAAATTTAGCTGTATGCACTAAATTATGAAAATTCAATAAAATCTTATGGGTTTTGTGAATTTAATAATGTTATTATTGTTTGTAGACCTTTGCGTTACAGGTTGGAAACCAAATTCGACAGCGCCATCTCTTGTGGAATAGCTATAACTATAAAAAATATTTTTATTAATTTAGACTGAAAATTTTACTTTCGAAAATAATGAATTTTGCTTCTCTTTCTGGAATTTTTCAATTATTTAATTGTTTGATAGAAAAAAATATTAACAAAAACCTATGCTAAGAAATTCTTATCCACATTTACTTTCATAACTAAACATTCGAATTAATTCCAAGAACCAACAGAAAATTTATTTCAAAATTATTATTGTAAAACCCCGAATTATATAAATTAATTAGAGAACATTATTTTGAATTTAAAATTTAAAATTGTGTTTTTATACATCATCGCAGATTTCGTGGCTCCAAGTGAATCTTATTAGAAAATATATACGTTCCAAAAATCTTTGAGCATCCTAAAGATTGATATTGGATTTAGTTACTGTAGTATACTGATTTAACAACAGATGGCGCAAAACTTCGAATTAAAACTAATATTCCTAAAGACACTTTTGTGCGTGCCTTTTATTGACTGAAAAACTTTATCCACTCGTAGTTTTGGATTTATGATACGAATTAGCTTTTTTAAAGTTCAAAAATTCTTCTTTTTCCATCCTTTATTTTGGTTGTTCACAATTTAATTATGTATTCTTTCCAAAACTACTTTGAAAAGGAACACATTAAGCGAAGTAAAGCGACCATTAGTCTTTACTATCGTAGTAACGACTACATAGCGACTAACGGCTGTCCAAACAGCAATGGTACTGCAAACTGCACTGCGCCATAATGGCTATTAATGAAGTACCGAAGTTGTCATGTTTTCTACATTATTAAGCATGGTCAGACTCTAGGGAAGCTTGCAGATAAAACTTCTCAACATCACTCTAATTTGCACCGTATTTTGTGAACTCCGTTGAAGGAAATATAAACTATATTCCGATGTTTTTTAAGTTGACTTTCATTTGATGATTGTGTTAAATATACCTTGAATTCTGGTGGACATTTTAAAATGCTCTATTCATACCGATGTAAGAGTTTAATGTACGGAATAAATCAGACTTGATGTCACTTATTATTTGGATATTTCTTTTGTTTTACTTCTTGCTAATTCCCGTAAGAGATTACGAAATATACCAATGATTTCTCAACACATTAATATACCTTAACACGTTGATTAATTATCAATAACTAGTCGTCGCCTGCGACTCTGCTCGCGCGGAAAAAAAATGTAAAAATGGCGCGGCCATTAGTAGCCTATGTGTTCTTCCAAGCTATGTTCTAAATATGTGCCAAATTGAAGCGAGATCCATGCAGCCGTTCTGGAGATAGTTTCAAACAAACATCCATCCATCCATTCATCATAATTAAAATAGATATGACAATATATCTTTTATATTAATAACTTTTGCTATGTAAGAATATGTTTTTTTATCTCGGAAAAAAAGACATCAACCGTCCGGTTTTCCAATAAGAATAAAATTAACAAAGTTCTTATGAATATGGATACCGTAGCGATAGTGGCCGGCGGGACTGACCAATAGGCGGCGACGCAGGGACCCCGCCCGGCCGGACCCTCACCGGACAATTGATTGATCCTTTTGTATGTTATGTATGGACGGACGGAGTAACGCGCTGGGATAGAACGCTGTAGAGAACATCCCATTTTTATAACTTTTTTATTCTGTTTTTAATTGTAAAAAAATACGACGATCGTTGCGTTTGTGTAAAAGAAAGGAGATCCTTATGTTCGATGCTGAAAGTTATAATATTATTGTTTTAGTGAACATATATTCAAAAATACTTCAACGGAAAAAAAAACTTAAAATATAATATAGGGAACGATGAAGTTAGTGGATAAAAAATAATCAAATAAATTCAGAGTTTTATCAGTGTAAATAATTTTTAAGAGCAATCGATTATATTTTGTTTCAAATATAAACCCTTTTAACTGATTTCCTATTATCTATATTAAACTGGTTTTAATCATATTTAATATAATAATACTTTTCATAGGTCATTATTTGCAGTGGCCATCTGCTTTCGCAAACAATACCAAAGCGTTAGCATTTCGCATGTGCAAAAATATAGGGTGTTTGCAATACAAAACTGGTTTGCAGTTTTCTAACTTTACCTACAAGTATTTCATAGAATTTTTAAACAAATAACGTAAGGGTGCATTCAGTATTAAATAACGGTCACGAACATAGCAAACCTTTAGAGTAATTCAACATTTAATCATGAATTTTCACTGTGTATCTAAAATCCCTGTTTTTATTCAAATTAACACTCATCTGGGCCTTTGTAAGCGCAGAATTTAAAAAAGTAGCCACCCGCTACGATTCGTCTTCCAAAATGGCGTTAAGCGTATTGTGGAGGTTCGTTTGGCCACGCCTAAATGTGGTCCGTGGTCTCTGCCTACCCTTCTGGGTTACAGGATTAATTTGAGTTGTTGTTGCTTATATGCGTCCTTTTACATGCTTGAATCAGCTCAGTTACCTTCCCATCGTAATCGG